GCTGATCAAAAACATTATTTCCTAGGAGACAAACAAAAGCACGCAAGTGTCTCACAATTTAAGCTGAGTTTACCCAGTTCCTACAGTGTTTTAAGCAGATTGTGGAATTGATGCTTATAATTACGAATTATGAACGCATGTATGAATGATTGCAACAACCTCCTGAGGCAATCATCTACACATTAGGGGCTCAGGAGGAAAAACGCTCCATAGAGAATGGATAAAAGAAACGTGCGGTACAAAATGACAAAAGAAAAGTGGCATCAGCCAGTCGTCTGGAGGTATTTGAGACAGCAGCGCTACTATTTCAGGAGACGTTGCTTTCGAGAGTAACACCTCCAGTCTGGTGAAGTATTAGCAGGAGGTTTAGGCAAAAGAAACTAAAAAACAAAAAACTATGACACAAGCTGCTTGTGCTGTCTATAGTGTTTTCATTCATACAGAGCACTCCGTTTTTCATAAAGAACAAAGGAAAGCATGACAGCTGACTGCAGCGTTAGGTGTAAATGAAGAAAGAAACGGCAAGAGATTCTCAAAAAATGTGTTGAAGTGTGAGACGCTTCAAAAACACTCCCGACCGCCACGAGATAAATGTTTTGTCTCCAACCAAGAGTATTAATGCTATCAGATGCTGATGAACTGTACAGAACAACAGGAAGAGGGTGAAACACTAATTAACCCCTGATTAGGGCTATTCCCATTTCATTTAATTAGTAAGCAATTAATCATATTCATGAATATACGAATACTGCATTAAGTATTTCATTGTACTGACCAAATTAATGGGACAGACATCTAGTTAAAATAAAATAAAATAAAATAAAATAAAAAAACTAAATAAAAAAAAACTAAATGAAAAATAAAATAAAATAAACTATTATTATTATTATTATTATTATTATTATTATTTTAATTATTATTATTACAAGAGCATCTTGTGCTTCGGTGAAATAAAGGAAATCTGACCTTTCCTCATAATTAAATCAAGAAATAGTGCAGATTCTTAAATATTTCTTCTTTATTTATGTGACCTGCCAACTGACCATTTAACACTAGACCTGAGGAAACGTTTTTAAACACTTTGCTTGCTTGGTTATTTTATCCAAGTCCAAGTCCAATAATAGCTGCCACACTCAAACAAGCCGTGGTTTCACCTTTGACAGGTCGCGACTTTTAAATGCAAGCTGTTTTCCTCTAGAGTGTTTGTTCCTATTAGAGCAACACATCCGTGGAAACAAAGTGCCACAAACTTGTCCTTTTACCTGCCACACACCCAAGACAGGACGTGCTTTGCTGGTTCCATTTTGTTAAAAGCTGCATGTGTCTGTTTCAATTTCTGTCTAGTGTGGGTTCAGCCACTTAAACGAGCGAGTGCCTCTTCACAACTCCATATCCCTCTTTCAGAACAAAAGACGCCTGCAGCGGCAATTACTTGCTCTTTTAGCCCGAGCGTCTGCAGTCCTGTTCACAAACACACCGGAGGGACAAAAGCGAGCGGAGGAATCCTAATTTAGCTTAGAACATTTTGAGACCACTATTCCTCTGACCATCTCTCCCTCTCTCGCCATCTCTGGCAAGACTGACGTGATAAAGTCTATCAAAAGTGACCTGGTGCTATTAGCAGTGCCAGAAGAAACTCTGTGGGCAGCGGCGCTCTGAGATGCCATCGTTTATGGACTGCTGCTACACGGAGAGATCAAGAAACAGCAGTATTTCTCTAAAGTTGATGTGTGTAATGTCAACTTGAAGAAGGGTTCTTTTCGGGGGAATCAACCTATGATTGGCTTAAGCAGGGGTAAGAAAAAGTATATTAACACCCCCAAAATTACACACTTCATCTGAAAAGGCCTTTAAAAAGCATGCTGGCATTTGGACTCCATGGAAAATGATAATGATTACTAGAAAAACTACAGTTCCTGTTCATGCTGACATTATGGAGCAAAGGTAGTTCATTAGAGAGTATCGCATTGTATGATGTTTTTAGTTTCTGGTTTTGTTAAGCAACTTTCTAATAATAATAATAATACATTTTATTTATAATGCGCTTTTCTCACACCCAAAGCGCTACAACAACGTAAAAAACAATTAAAATACAAAATACAATGATACAATATAAAACAGCAAAATAAATCAAATCAAAACCCTAATCAACAGCTTAATCATTATAAGCAATTTTAAAGAGGTGGGTTTTCAACAGTTTCTTAAAAGTACTTAGTGTAGAAGCACTTTGAATATTCAAAGGAAGCGCATTCCATAACCTCGGAGCGGCACAAGAGAAAGCTCTCTGTCCCATAGTTTTTAATCTGGAGTGGGGCTGATAAAGAAGAAGAGAATCAGCAGAGCGAAGAGGACGCGAAGGCATGTAAGGGGTAACTAAATCACAAACATAAGAAGGAGCCAATTCATGCGCAGCTTTATAGGTTAAAACAAGCGTTTT